CTCTGCACTTCACAATAGCTAAATATAATTATAGCATTTCCAGAAAACATTTAATAGAATCTTAATGTCAGGAATTGACAACTAAAATCACTCTCAAGTAATTAGAATAAACTTTAGTTGTGGCATTCAGTACTATGGGCCTACACATGATGCAACTAAGGGCCAGAACTGGAGGCCCATTTCAAAAGCAATGCATTTTAGTTTCAGTTTGGGTTTCAAGTAGTTTGTTGTTGTAGTCAGTTTAAGAAATTCAAAGACTTTTGTATAATGTGAAAGTAATGTTTTTGTTTAACAAAATTTCAACATTATGTTGATCATGTTTTACCAGAAATTTTGGCTTTGACTTTCTCTTGTTTAACAATTACCAGTGCCCACACCAAAAATACATTTTTTTATTGATTTAATTTTTATATGTGATTATTCCCAAGTATGTGTCAATATGTTGTATTTTTTTCAAAAGTTAACTTTACTTAAAAATTTTTGAAATTCAATCATTTTGAAATAGGCCTCCAGTTCTGAGCCTTATTTGCTCCTTTAGCATAAAATGACATGGCTTTAGTAAAAAACATTTAACTAATATACAGCTAAATACTTTTAACACTAATTTCTAACTATTTCAAGTTTTATAATCATTTCTCCAAACAAACACTTCTATTTGTTTCAGATTAATAAAAAAGAAACAGACCAACAATAAGGCTATATAAAAAGGAGGCAACTTATCTTAAATGTACTAAAAGTTTAAAGAATGAGCACTCAGTTTAACTTGAAGAATAATTTCAAAACAATAAGAGCTAAGATTGCACCGAAAAAGTAAAACTTGAAATTACATATTCCATAAGAGGAAAAGTCAAAGTTGAATTCCAAAATTTTAATGAGTTAAAACTTTTTTTAGAAGGCTTTTCTTTATTGTTCCATATTATTTCTTTTTAATTAGTAACTGATACTGATTAACTTTGCACCTATAAAATTCAAATGCCTTTCAATAATTTATTATATTTAAAAGCATAAACATATTCAATACTCTAACTTTGAAAACTAAATTTCCAAAAATTATTGAACCTAGATTTGTTTATGAAGTATAAAACTTGAGAAAATTTTTCTTTCAAGGATATTAAAAAAATTATGTGGTTTTAACATGTTTCTACTGATATAAACTCAAGAATATTAGGTCATTGTTTTTTTTTAATACAACACTGGTAGGGGTCAAGTCATATTTAATATAGTGAATGGGTAACCTGTGTACTAATTAAATCAATCTTCTCTTCATATATTTTATAGGTCACTTTCTACAATGAATCAAATTATAAAATACTATATAATTTACCTTAATTAATGGAAAACAATCTAAAAAATCTGCTATCTGAAAAATATCAGAGCCTAAATGAATCTGTAGTATAAAGTTTTCAGGGGACCAATTCTACTGACCTAGATTAAAATAAAATATGTAATGTCTGAAGTGTAACAAATGTGTGTGTTCTAATTAAAAATTACCCAATTGAAGTCTAATTGCATCTTCTTGGATATGAAATCTTGAAGCTTTTTTTTTTTTTTTTTTTTTTAAGAAAGCAAACTTGACCAGGTATAGATATCCATATTTGATGAACACCATTGCAAGGTAAAATTAACTCAGTTCAAAGAAAATATAGTATAGCCTGAATAAAGTAAAAAGGAGCCACATAATGGAAAATTTATGCCAACAACAATTTTCTGATAAAATCAAGGTATTATTCTATGTTACAGAATGCAGAGGCTGGCCAGAAGACCCTGTGGGCATGGAATTCTGACAGTGATGGATTGCTTTAAATTTTGGATATAAAACAAAAATGACACAAAATCAGACAGGGTAGCAAGAATTTTGAAGAGACAATGCACCTCCCACACCCAGATTCCTTAGCAAAACTAGCCAAAGATTAGTTCTCTTCCACTTCTTCCTAGAAATATTGCTATATCAGTCCCTTGTATAATTAAGGGAGATAAGAAAAAGATGTTGTCCATCATTGGTCTTTGAAGAACCAAAGCCAGAGATGACATGGAATGCAACATCTGACAGGTTAGCTATTGATAATAAATGGAATACTTGAGAAATCCATTAGCAGTGAGAAGCAGTTAAAACTTATCACATCTTTAATGTGTATTCTCAGACAACATTACTTAACTAAGTGAATTCTTATATCAGAAGCTGATCAAGATAATCAGTTTTCAAACTCTTGTTCCTCTTTAACATTAATGCTAATGTGTAAAATTTCAGATAGATCCATAAAAGGACAATATGAATAAAGACAAAAGAAAAATTTACCTTAGCCGACATGTTTTGATCTCTGAGGGAATTTATCATGGCAAATATAAGGATTTTATTTTGTAACAATTTTTTTTATAGATAAGTGCAAGAATGTTAGTTTTACAAAATTTTTAAATTTAAGAAATGTTCAAATATTCATCAGGTTATCTGAAAAGTCTAGGTAAATTATGAAAGATGCTAAGTTGCATAATTTGATGCCTAATAAACAAAATTGAATGAAAGATGTTCATATAATTTTTTTTCTCAAGAACATCTTTTACTCCCTCAAATTATGTCACTTAGAATCCTCCATAACTTACCTAGACTTTTCAGCTAACCTGATGAGCGTTTCTTAAATTTAAAAATTTTGTAAAACTAACATTTTTCTTTTGTCCATAAATACTTATTACAAAATAAAAGCCTTTCATTTGCCTTGATAAAGTCCTCAGAGGACAAAACACATCAGCTAAGTTTTTCTTTTTATCTTTATTCAGTAAAGCTAATGAAATGTCAGCTAAAAACTGGTTTATCAAACAATGTTGAATATAATTTTCACTAACAATATAAATAAAGTTGGTGTGCATGTCAAGAGTTAAATTTCTTTTGAAGACAACCAAGAATCATATTTCCTGTTTAAGTAACTCAAGCATAAACAAGCATTCATTTTTATACTCTTTAATATCAGTCTAAAATTTTTCCCTGCTAGAAAGCAAACATAGCTACTGGTTCTCAAAAAGACAACAGCTTAATATCTATTAAAATTAATTTTTGTTAATTGCAAAGTTTAGTTCTTAGAAATATTTACAGGAATTGTTTCAGAAAAGTCACCTCCATTCCCCCTCTACCAAAAAATAAAAAAATAAACATTGGGACAAAAACAAATGAAATTAGCTCTAGCAGTAAACAGACGAGCTAAAAGATTTTTAATAACTTTTAAGAATACAAGATACCCATCATCACAGTGTATCTTATTTTATCTACAATTGGCAATGAGAATGGTAAAATAGATCAATTGTTTCATAAAAATGAAACAATTATATAATATTATATATAATATAATGAATGTAATTTCTAAAATATAAATTCACAAAGAAATCTATCAAAATAAGTAGACTTTATCAATTCAATTCCTTTCATTTGTTCTCAGGCAATTTTATTTTGGTCATGTAAAGCCCAATATTGAAATTGCCATCAATATGATAACGGCTTTATAAGAATCATAATAATTATGAATATATTTATATTTATTCACCATATAGAAACAGCTTGATAAATATTAAAAATTAGTGGGAAGTCACTAGCCCTTAAAAAAAAAAAAAAAAAAATTAATAGAAACCAAATATCTACCCATTTATTTTTCTATAAGCCTTTTTTAAATAAATACCTTGTCTCCACCCAACAAAGATAACAATGATAAATAAAAGGAGAAAAGAAATTCTAAAATCTACAAACACTTGTGGCCATGCTTTGAAGATGTGAATGAAAAAAATAACCACTTAATATGTTTTATACTTTATTAGATATCTTGATTATATAATTTATTTTTTAATAAACTTCATCCTTTATATTTTAAAATAAGAAAAATAAGTTGGATACTAAATTTTAATTAATGGGAAAAAAAAAGAAACCTTTCACACAAAGCAAAATGGTCATGCAGTCAAATTTTTTTGGTTGAGAAGGAAAAAAAAATGATCTTAATTAAAAGAATGATCATTAAAACGTGTATCAGACATGCAAAATGAAACTTCATTTCTTAGTGAAAACCTTTTACAAGGAGAAAAAATGTTTTCTAATAAGTCTTCCCTCCTCCACCTTATGTGACAAGCCTAATGACTTGATATTCATAGTTGCTTCATTTTGGAAATAAAGCTCAAATGAATTTTCATCTATATTTAATTGTATTTCATTAGTCAGAAAGAAAAACTTTAAAATTCTCTTAAGATTTATGAATTGGCTGTTCTATGAATTTATCTTGTAACTGATATTACTAACACAGACATGCAGCACTGAATTGTATTCTTGCAAGAAAAATAATTGTTAATTACTTTCCAAACACAATTTCATCTGTCCTATTTTGTAAAAGCTTTCATTTCCCTTTCATATAAAACATATCTGATGATTAATTAGCATTGGCAAAAAAAAAAAAAAAAATAAAAAAAAAAAAAAAAAAAATAAAAAAAAAATAAAAAATCACTCGATGTCAAAAAATCAAAACTGAAGAGTTTCTAAAAGGGTTCATTTTTGTTTTCCGTTCCTTATGAAAATAAATCTCTTTAATTAAAGTCTGGCTTGCTCATATGGCCAATATTCCCTGACAAAAAATAGATAGCAGCCACGAGCACATTTTTATTTGGGGGTGAGGGGTAGGGGGTGGAGAGAAATAGATACAAATTCTCATAAAAAAAAAAAACAAAAAAAAAACTAATTACCATGACTATTGGTAGCATATCATGCTTATGTAATTTTCATCTACCTTAGTCTTCTTCAAATAACCATAACCTATTGCCACAAATTTACTTTTATCATTAAACCTTCCAGTTCCCAAAACTAGAGTGATCTACTCTGGTCAACATCCCACAAAGCTGGAGGATTTGCACAAAAGACATTATTTCCAAGAGTTCTCCTCAAAATGAAAAGAAACTAAAATAAAAACTAAAATGAAAAATAAAATAAAAACAAATAAAAATTACTTAAATATAAAAATAAGATGTTGCAGACATACTTTTTTGACCTTGGTGCTCGAGGGGTCGCAGCAGTTCCACTTGAGGTACTTTCCACTGCAGCTGGTGAAGGAGTACAATTTGTGCTTGCATTGAAAGCCATTTCCTTGATTGAAAGTTCCTTAGCAAGGTCAGCTGGCCGGCTCATGGCTACAATACTGGCTTTCATGCTCGGCGTACGTCGGCCTTGGGACATCTAAAACATAAGAGAAATAAAGTTAGTATTACTCTGGAGTGGGGGAGGCTAAAAGATTCCCTACCCACACATAATAGAACTCAATCTCTTACTTTCTTTAAGAATGTTGCATTAATCTTAAATATGTTGAGCTACTTATTCTGTCTGAAGATATGTTATGCACTGAATTTGGTCAAGAACTGACAAATGATCCCTAATGTTAAACAATAATTACATCAGATGCTGTCATGATCATTATACAACTTTTTGACAAATTGCCATGATGTTTTAGAAGAGTAGAAAATATACTGCATCTCACATTATTAAACACTTCGCACACACACACAATGCCTCAGCTGACCAGAATATATAGCCGAGCTACCACCCTGCACACATGGCCTGAAGATTGCGTTCAAGCATGAAATAGTTACCACTATGTTGATCTTAGTGCCCACTTATATTTACACAGGCTCTATCCCTGATATTGAGCACTTTTACCCATAAATATAGCATATATTATATATAAATAATGAAATAATTACTGAATTTGCAGAATGAAAGTAACGTCAATGTGTGGAGTCCTGATGAAAGTCAGTTCTTTTGTACAGGTGTAAACAGCAGCCATTTGTATGAAACATCCGAAATTCCAAAATTAATAGCCATGTTTTGTGTTTGAAGCTTTAAAATAAATTTTAAAGTCTGACTTGACAGATAAAGGGAAATGTCTAATAACTTGTGCAATTGCAAAAGGTTAAAGAATGCTGAAAATAGTAAAAATCATTGGCAGGTAGCATTGAAATACAAAAATGTTTGAAGATCCAGGACAAGTCTAATATAGATACGAGTAAGATGAGGAATTTTACCTCATTGATTTGTATCCTGTAGCTAGACAGAAATCAATTAAAAAAAAAAAAAAAATATACAAAGAGTGAAAAAATTCAAGTTATCAAGTGGTAAAATATTTGAGAGCTAACTCAGCCTCCTTTAAAATATCCAGAAGGAAAATCAAATGAAATAAGTAACAGAATACATAAAAAGCTCTTTTTCAACCATTTTCCCCTGACGAAATGCTGTATTATCCTCAATGGGTCAGACCAAACAAAGACTGGATAGCTACAATAGTTACTTACATTTTCAAACTATGTGCTGTGACATTTCAGGTAGCATTACATGAGACTCAAATGTTACAATGATATTTACTTTTTTTTTTTTTGAAGGCACATATGGAGCCATAATCCAAGTAGCAGGTAAACACTTTCAGAAAGTGTTTTCTGCATGACAATACTCCCTCACAAAGAAAACTAATAAATGAGATATATATATATATATATATATATATATATATATATATATATATAAATAACTTTTTGACTAGCTTGTTTTACCAACCTTAACCTGATTGGTAACCTGTAGAATATTCAGAAGAGAAAGGTTTACATTGACAAGTGACAATTTCACAAGAAAGAAACTGGAATGCTATTCTGCATTGTTATATATGAAGAAATACAACATCTCACAAAATCAAAAGAACAACATCTTAAAGTCGTTTCAGAACATGGAACATACATTTCATATTAATGTTAGTTTTAACAGTTATCATTTCAATAACAGTTTTCAAAACATTTGCCTTTGTAAATTTTGTGAAAGTTACAAATTTTTTTTTCATGTTTCTTAACCTGACTAATGCTAGAAAATTGAGTAAAAATTCATAAAACTGTTACCACATAAGAATATGCAGTCTATTATAATTTATGTGAAAGCCCTTCATTAAGTTAAAAAAGGAAGAATTAAACATGACAAATAATGCAAGATGTTGTGTAATATGGCTGCCACACTTCTAATGATAAAAGTATAAAACAAAATAAAATCTTATAAATTTTGCCTTCCTACATTTGAATTTACTAAGAAGAGATTTTAAGTTTTTTTTTTATATAGTATAATGAAGTTAGCATGTTGAATAATAATATAAAGATATAGGAATTAGCTTTGCTTCTTAAAAAAAAGAAAATCATATGAAAGTTATGAGAATAATGTATCTTTTTGCTATCTCAAGCCATGCATTTAAAACAACACAAACTGACTCATACAAAAATCAAGGATATGAATGTTTATAACCTTTTGACAACATCAATAGAATTTATAAATTAACAAGAGAGAGAAAAATAAATAAATAACACCTACATTAAACCCTTTACAGAAGTCATTCTGAAAAAAAATCATCCATGCAAATATTTTCATTACTCATAGATAGAAAACAAAACAAGAAAAGTGTTAGGTTGTCACACATGAAATGACGCATTTTTTGATTGGTTGTTGATCCGGTCGTCTAACAAAGTAACCTCCTTAGCATATAAAAAAAATCTTGACTTATTCTTGACCCTTTTTCTTTCCAGATAATTTTTCTTTCAATATATTGTTACTCATAAGCCCAATGAAAATGATTACAATGAAACAATGTTGAGTAATCTTACTGTACGAGTACAAACTGGGAAAAAACATTTTTGCATCAAATCATTACATGTGATGAGAATTGGATACTCTTTGACAACATTAAGAGAGTGGGCCAATGTTTAGATGCAAGCAAATCACTAAAACAATGCCAAAAACCTCAACTACTCCTTAAAAAGTTACTGTTTAATGTATGGTGGTCTTTCAAAGGAGTTATTCATTATTCAGTCTTGCTTCAATAACAGCAACCTTCTCTTGTGGAGAAATTGAGTTTATGCATGAAAAACTGAAAAAGAAACATCCTAGACTTGTGAATAGGGATGGCGCAATTTTGCTGCATGACAACGCATGGCCAAATGCTTGCTCATTGAACTGTCCAAAAGCTGCATAGCCAGAATTATGAAATTTTGCCTCATCATCCATATTCACCTGATATCTCTCATACTGATTACCAATTATTTAATGCATTTTGAGCATTTCATATGCAATAAAACATTCTCCATTAAGGAAGTGGTAATTGAAGCATTTGAACTGTTTAACAAATCAAAGGATGTAGATTTTCTTAAAGATGGGATCAAGAATTAAGAGGTACATTGGAGAACAGTCATTCATCAACATGGTGCCTATTTCAACTAAATAAATTAGTTATTTAACATTTCAGAAGCGTTATATTGATTTGCTATAAAGTGCGTCATTTCCTGTGACAACCTAATATAATGCCATAATGTTAACAAAAAAAAATTAAAAAATTTTTTTGCTATCCTCCAAGCATTTTTCAATTATTCCCAGCAAACCTTTTATTAAACCGAATTTTTGAGACTAAAGAATTTTTTTTTAAGTTATTATAAAATAGATTCTAATGACAGAAATCAATTATTGAAACTGAAAGCAAAACTTTTTTTAGTCATAGAACTGCATTCTGTAATCTATTCCTATTTAAATAATTGATAAAATTATTATTTTTTTTTAGATTTTTAATGTTTAAAATAAAAAAAAATTTTGATGACTGCAATAAAATCTTCATTTTCATGTATGAAACAAAATTATAATCATCTATGAAACTGAAAATTGAGGAAAAGTTTGATATCCTCCCATGGGAGCAAAGAAATTTCTATTTCTATAAAGAAAAATGATAAAATCAAATTTTGTTCAACAAAAATAATTAAGGATAGATGCATACTTGAAGTTATAATTTTCTTTTTATACAATGGATCATTTTAAGGAACATGAAAAAAATGGCCTGACCTTGCTAAACATTCCATTTTTTTTTTTTTTTTTTTTTACACATTTTATTTTACACATTTTATTTTACAGTTTAATACATCTCTTGCAGGAAATATTTTTGGTAGCAGAATAAAATTGAGTTGAGATGGAATTTAAAGAAAAGAAAAAAAATCCCTATAAAACTGGTGTGACATATGCACAATAAAAGATTATTAAAACATTTTTTAATGATTTATTTTCAAGTTGGATTCATATGAAAGCAATGATAATATATTATAACATTTTTTTTATCAACAAATGTTTGAAACTGATCTACAGAGCTTAGTCTAAGGCTAACATTCATTATCAATTACTTTTTAGAAAAAAATATTGCTTACTTTTTGTCAAGATAAAATCTTATATCAATTATAAAAGGATTACTTAAAATTTAATCAAATAATGAATACATGAAGAAACTTTTTACATGGAACAAACGCGCATGATAGCTAAAGTGACAAACACCATTACAAGTTCAGAGTATTAGCATAAAAATTCCCTTTAAATCTAAATTTAGAATGAACAAACTCAATAAGTAAGTGGTATTGCTGATAAATTCAAGAGGATTAAATTTAGCATAAAAGGACAACTTGTTGGTATACAGTTTTGAACTATTGTCTATAAGTTCAAGAGTCATCATAAAAGCAAGTATTGTTTGAACTTGCTGTTAACACAGTATTTCAGCCAATCTAACCTTTTGACTTCATCATGCATATTCCCAAGAGGAAAAAAAAGGACTTCATATACTAACTGGCTGGATCAATCCATTCACACACAAACACCAAGCAAAGAAAACCACATCCTAGCCAGAATTTAGCACCTGGTCAATAAGCCATTATATACTACCCACTTTTGCTTTCTCAGCCCACAAAGGATGATCCCTGTCAATTAGATGGATCTCATCTCCAAGAGGATAAGGTGAACCCTTCTTTCTGCAGATCTGATCCATCACACCAAATTTTGGTTACTGCTTATGTTCCCTAAATAGACAGTTAGTGTCCCCTCTTAATTATTGACCTAATTAGTTTCAGTTCTAGAGATTTGCCAGTCACAAGAAACAATGTAAATATGCAAATCAATGCTCATGGCAATTTTTATTTTTCTTTCTTTCTTTTTTTTTTACCCCTTTTCCTTCTTAATACCATGTCCCTTCAGGACACGGATAATCATGGCTTTCCAGATCCCTTTTATTTATTATCTGCGAATTGCCAGGACTTCTTTGGGAAAACAACAATAGTGGTTTCTGTCATCTTCGCCATGGTTTTGGATTAGTTCAAAGTTCCCTGTACTCTTAAGCAAGCATCAAACTAGGGCTAGAGAACCCAGACTATTTAACTCATAGCTGGGAGGAGGGAAAAAACGAATTCATACCTTTCCCAAAGGCATCAGTGCAAAATAAATACAATGGACTAGACTGGAACTTTAAATCTGCTCACCAATATCCCTTTCCATGCTCATAACCATTGTACTAACCCCCCACCCTTACACACTAAGAAAAGCAAATAACATTCTTCAAAGGATTTACAAAATATGGTATGCTGGAAAATGCTTATTTCTTCAAAATGAGTTGTCCAGCATTATATATCTCAATGCTAATTACCAAATTATTTTTTTAGAACATATTAAACAAATTTTATGGCACAAAATATTTTAATATGGAAATCATTAAAAATATTTGATAACTTTGTAATAAACAATTTTCAAATTATAATCAATTACAACACAGGTAGAAAAACAATTTACTTTCAGAGAAGTCATATGTAGACCAAAAAAATCCAAGGTTTTGATTAACAAAATATAAAATTGTTATAAGATCAATAAAAATCCATTTTGCAGACAGCAATTAAATCTTATCAATATTTCCTTTTTTTTTTTATACATCAGTATTTAAATTCAGTCAGCAGAAGCCGTGCTTAAGTTTAACAGCAATAGCAGTAAACAGAAAATGTGATACAAAAGCAATTGTGCTCTTTAAAATTAACAAATATTAAAAAAAAAAAAAAAAAAAAAATCCCCAATGTCAGCAATTTTTTTTTTCATAGGGATAATAATTATAAATATCCAACTTATGCCATATCACATAACTTTTATTTGAATAATAAAATGTTGAAGTTTCTCTAAAGACCTAAAAGTAATGCTTATGTGAGTTATCTTAAACTGCAAACATTTAAAGGGTCCACTGACAGAAGACTTCAATTCCTTTGTCATTTGCATTGATAGGAGACATGACTGGCCAGGATTTAAATGCAACAAGGATATTAGGCAAAAAAGTTTTCTTAATATATAACTGAATCTATCTAGTTATGGTACTCATAAAATCTGCAAGATTTAATGGTATAATTTATTCTTGTGAGTTTTCATATCACATAACCCCACATTATAAATATAGTAGTGGGGAAACAGCGTCCCCCACTGAAAAAAAAAAAAAAAAAAAAAAAATGTAAGTGACTTACACAATCTGCATTTATTAATGGATCATTCACTCAAACCATAAGTTCTTAACTGGATAGAGAGGAGGAAAAATATTTTACCTTTTCACAAGTTTCTTATTGACAGTCACCTTCATCAAAATAAAATCAATTTACCCTGACCATTATTGAATTACAATACCCTGGCATTCTATTGAACATCTTGTTCATTAAAATATGCTTCAGTTTACTTATTTAATAATTAGTTATGAATTAAAACAAATTAATATACACGTGTTCAAGTTTCAAAAATCCATCAACATTTTATATTGCTATTAAATTTGTAAAACTCCTCTATAAAAATAATCCATGTAAATCTATATGTACTAATATGGAAAAGAATGAAGATTTTCAATAATATATGCACAAATGCTGAACTATTAAAAATATTAGAGTGATCTCCCTTTTTAGTAAGTTTTTCATGAAAGGCAATACAAATCAATAATAATGTCAGGTGATACGGTAAATGACAAACTTTACATTTATTAAATAAACTTGACACCACGGTTAATCTGGACAAAATGAGTTTTTTTCTTTTTTAAAATGAAAAACTGTTTTGCCATTTCAATTAAATCAATATAAAAATTCTGGGTTTGTTAATGTGGTTATATTGGTGTAAAAAAGCCTCTTTCGTACATTTATCTATGTAACTTTCTGCTAAAATTGCTAGATTATAATTTATTCTAATGTCTAAAACATGAACGTCTTTAGTAACTTGGGTCACATCTCATACGTTTTCTCAAAATTCAAGAAGTTTGAAGTTACATATGCAAGCACATGTTTAGAGATTTACTAACAAATAAGCTGATAAGATGAAAATTTTAATTTATACTCAATGTTTTAACCAAGTGACAAAACAAACTTATGTCTTACAGCTACAAAATTGAATTATGAAGATTACAGTCAAGTAGGTACAACTAAGAGTCACAAATGTTGACATGAATTTAGTTTCAGAAACGTCATCCCCAAACCAAAAAAAAAAGAAAAAAAAAAGAAAAAAATAACATTTGGACAACAGCGAACAAGAGCAGCTCTAACAGTAAACAGATGAGCAAAAAGATTTTAAATAAATTTTAAGAATACAAGATACACACTGATGAGGGGCAATGAGAATGGAAAAAGATATAAAAAAGATGTAGAGACAAGATTTCTAAAGTAGTTTCATCCAAAAAATAAAGATAAAAAAAATGATTTGTTATATTAGTCACTATCAATTATAGCTTCTGATGTAGATTTTGTAATTCATGCCTTAATGTTTTCTTTTTTTACATTATGAAAAGCAAATCAAACAGTAAAACTAAAATTATCAATAAAAATTAAATTTAAACATTTTTACAAAAAGGAAAAAAAAAATTACTGCTTTCTTGAAATCATTATGAGAATTTTAGATTCTCCTAAATTATATTTTCTATTGTTTTTAGCTTTTTCTTCAGTAACACTGACAGGCACAGAGGAAGTAACGATATCCTTAAGTTAACTAACAAACCAGCAAGTTGAAAGACAAGATTGCATATTAACAGGCCCAACAACTTTGAAATGTTACATCGTAATGTTACATGAAAATAAGACATAACTTTTTATGGGGTTCAGGGGTAGTGAAAGCCAAAATTTTGAAACCAAAAGAAGCCAATCAATGCCTGTACTAGTAACACTAACATACGCACAAACACACAACTATTTATTCCCAAAGTGGCATAATTGCAAAAATGTTTGGAGGCAGTTATTGCAATGGTGAGTGACTAAAATGAAGAGGAAGTGGAAAGTGCAGTGAACAAAATGTCAAAGAAAGAAAGAAGAGGAAAGATTTCATTGTCCAACAACTTGAAACACAGGCACAGCATTCATGCACCCTTGACATGGAACATGGCTGTTATGGGGCAAGCAAAGCATAAAACAGAATACAACACAACATAAAGGTCATCAAGTGCAAAGACATGTACATAGATAAAGAAATTCGATTTGAACTAAAATTAAATGTAGAGTCTGAGATATTCCAGCTTTTACAAGAACAAAAATGGACTGACATAAGGAACACATGATATTGCCAGACTTGAGATATATATAAATTTTTTTTTTTTTTTAAATAAAATTTACAACAGATTGTTGATTTCATACAAAAGTAAATGTGATGACTATTGGGGTAGGTAAAAGAGTTTATCAAGGTTTACAGAATTGGTACTGCAGTTCTTTATGTAGATAAGAAGCTGGCTGGTCAAAGACTCATCTGACAAATATGAGGCCATGGGTCTGTATCTAAGTACAAGTATGTGTGTGTTAGTGCAGATAAGAAAGGTGTATATGTTTTAAAATGTGAAGGAAAAGAAGAGCTTTAAATTAGGGCAAACTCAGGACTAAAAGAAAGAAGAAAAGGTAGAAAGAATGAAAATGAGGGAGAAAAAAATAAAAAAATAAAAGATGGAAACTTCCCACTGCAGAAGCAATGAGAAGAGGAAGATATAAAACAATGTTTTTATATATATATATATATATATGATAAATGAATTAAACAAAATGGTGAAGAAAATAAATTTAAACTTTTTCTTTTTTTTTTTTTTTTAAATAACAAAAACAAAAAAAAAAACAAAAAAAAAATGAAATTCTCTCTGCTCAACTCACAGGATTCTTCTGGACAAAACTTCGCCCTGAGGTTACCGTCTAAAAATCAATAAAACAATATAGTAGAGACTGGGTGAGAGGAGACACTATGGAAAAACCCTTTACTGTTTAAGGAGAGCCAGGAAGACGGTCTCAGTTGCCTGCAGAACCAGCAACAATGAAATGACAAATGGAGTCATCCATCAGAAGATAAGAATACAGAGTTTTTAAACTGTCTTCAGAACCAAAAATTAACATTGATGGCTGTAGATTTTTTAATATAAGGAGTCCATTCTTTTTGTATTTTTTTTTTTAATAAAATTCTTTTTCTATTGGTTTTCCTCATGGCCATCTTAAGCAATAAAGGGTTGGTTGATAATTTAATAATACAAAAAATAAGAACATGTTAGAAATATATGTATGCGTAAATAAATATGTTCTTCAAGCAAAAAATAAAAAATAAAAATAAATGATTGGAGAGAGAGAAAAAGAGAGAGAGGAAGGAAAAAAAGCATACAAAATACACAAAGATATTGATGAATTTGTTTAAAAATAGAACTTATATATTTTTGATTGCCAGTAAACAATATCTTGACTAAATTAAATTTAAGATGACCATGATAAGTATATGAAGGAGTGCTGAAAAGTTTCTAGTTTGACTGACTTCCCAAAATCTGACAAAGATTTGGAAGGGCTTCTTGCTCATGCTGAGAGCTTTTCAGCACCACTTAAATAAAAAAAAACACATTTTTCACAAAAGTTTACATCTTTAAATTATGTAACCAAATTAACAATGAAAAAAGTTATTATACTGTTATGTATAAATATATTTTTAAACAGTACACAAGAAAAAAAATAAAATCATTTAATATGAATGGATTCCTTTTTAGAAATAAGGAGTTACTCAAAAAAAAAAAAAAAAAAAAAAAAAAAAAAAAGAGGAAATAAATTATAGATTTGTAAAAGACAATTATCAGCTTTTCTTTCCAAGTGTTGTTTGGACTATTGATCTCATCCTTTTTGTTGTTAGCATAACATTTCAACCAATCCATTCAGGTTTGTGAGGGTCACTTTTTTTGTTTTTAAAGTAACGATTGACCTAAAACATTGTGTTAATAACAAACAAGAAAAAAAGTGAGAACCCTCATCCAAAACAACTCTTAGAATAATAATGAATCAACTTAAAATAACCAGTGGTATGGATTTCTTGTTTTTAAAAAATAAGCAATTTTAAATAAAAACCAAGAAACATTATTTCATGTCCAAATGGGATTTTTGAGAAACAATCATTAAATGGCTAAGAATAAGAACTTTTTTCCTTTATGACAAAGCAGAAAGTTAGCAAACAATAAGTAAACATAAAACAAGACTGTTCCAAAGTGTCCTAGATAGACTTGTCCCCTTTTTTTTTTTTTTAATCCATATAGGATGTGACAATTGCTGAACATCTATGAGAACTGATGGCAAAATCTAACATCAGAAACCATTAAGTTATTGAGATAATATACATGAAGACGATTCCATCAGTTATCTTTTACTTAATTAAAAACTCTCTATAACAAACATTCAACAATATCTTCTAATTTTTATAGTTTTCTAAAGCTGTATCTTTTCAGTATCCAATTTGAAAATTGAAACTTGTCTTTTCAGCATTTTCGTAACGGAACAGAAATTGAATTTATTAAGTCATGATCAACTAGAACAAGGCAGGAGTCAAATATTTTATTGGCTGCTCCTTTTCTTCCTATTTATTATTAAGGACAAAGGCAGCTCCTTGATCTGAATGGGCAAGGTAAGTGAATATTAGAGCAAAACAGAAGCAGTTGTATACTATGTTAATCAACTCACAAGCAGCAAGTTACTAACATTAAAAAAAAAAAAAAAAAAAAAAAAACGAGAATTACAAAAGAAGGACAATATTAGAAGGAATATTTTATTAAAAATTATGACCAACCAACAGTCAGTCTAATGAAGCTAGGTGGAAGTGAATGCATGTAGGAAAAACAAGTTTGATTTTTGCAAGACCTTTTTGAACAAATTAAAAATGTGATGGCAGTGTATGTATAGCTAAAAGCCAAGTATTGTTATTTAGGGAAAAAAAAAAAACAACACCAAGTATGATTTCAGGCAAGTTACAAGTCACATGATAATCAATTTAAAATTTGGGTAAGATTTAAGAGGCAGAGACAACTTATTTTAAAAATTAAAATATGAAGCTTTTTAATTTTCATTGGCAGAATATGTCAAATAATTTTCCAAATTGTCTTATATATTTATAAATTAAACTTTTGTAAACAAAAGTGTAAGTAAATTTTATTTTGTAAGCAAAACTTACCTGGAATAATTAACAGTATTAATGAAAAAAATATTAAGATTATGAAACCATACTTTATAAGAATTTCACACTGGAGTGTTAAAGATGTCCAATAATAGCGAACATGTGCTATAAGAGAAATATATGGACCACAAGGGGGGGGGGTAGAGAAAAAGAAAATGAGGGAACATAATTTTTCCATGCTTTTTACTTTTAATCAGATTAGCCATGATGTAAGCACAAATGCTTTTTACAGATTTATAGTAAATTTTTGTTGTAAATAAAACTAAACTTTAATTGAAATGATTACAAATCTAAAAAACAGGCAATGTGGGATCTATTATTAAACAATTAAAAGATTAAAATTTCTAACAGAAACACCAGTGTGTTCAAAAGCAAACACGGAGAATGATATTAAAATGTAGACTTTATAGCCAGCACTCCTCTGAATTAAACAAGGCAAAAATGAGTATCTTATTTATTGTTTTGTATCAAAGCAGTTCCAGGAGTTTTAAATCAGCAAGAGGAATATTCTCCATTAATCAGAAAATAAAATTCAGCATACTTGATTACTCATTTACCATGAGGCTAAAACTTAAAAAAAAAAAAAAAAAAAAAAAAAAAAAAAAAATCACATGGGAAAATTTCAATCATTTTTAAAATCATTATATATTTTATACAGGGTGCATAAGAAATATATCCTACATAATAGAAAGACATTAGTGGCAATAGTGTCTTTGCCTAACTCAGCGGTTCTCAACTTTTTCTTTACCCACAGACCACTTTTAAATTTTCTTGGTGGATGTCTCATGACCATTCAATGAAAAAGAAAAATGAAAAGAAAAAAAAAAAATTTATTTCCTAATGTGGCTTATTTTCTTTTATAGCTAAGTTTAGCAATCTTTATATATCCTCATTTTTCATTAAAATTTTACAATCAAGACAGCCGGTAGAGTAAAAAGGGCGCTAACTTACATCGTTTGATCTTGTTTTCTGCTTGTTTTAGTGTTCTCCATTATTAGCATATTAATATGGCATAGATTACTGTAGGCATTGTAGGATGTATTTCTGCTGCATCATGTAGAAAGAATTGAAAGAATTTTTATATATATATATATATATATATATATATTATTCAAGCAAACTTTCAGAGAAAGTTTCAGTCATCATGCTCCATCAAAAAGCAGAATTTCTGACTTAGTTCAGTGAGTATGGGACTGTACAAAATCTGAACTCTAGAGGTCTGAAGGACACTCATTCTGGTCAGAGGGTGAGTGCTAGAACAGAAAGGAACATTGATGCTGTATAGGACTCAGTGGTGCAGAGTCCAAAGAAATCACTTTGACGACAAAATCAACAGATGGAAATCTCTGGTGAGGCTTTGAGATCTTCATTTATATCCTTACAACATCCAAATAAAGCAAAAATTTATAGAGACAAACATGGAAAACCACATAACCATGTGTGTCAATGGTTTTGTGACAATCAAAGACAATCCAGATTTCTTGGATCATGTTTGGTTCTCTAATGAAGCGCGCTTTCTGCCTTCAGGACATATAACCAGCAAAAATATTGTTTATTGGAGTACAGCCACACCAGAGGCCATTACATGCAACAAAGTGCACAATATAGGTTGCAATTTCTAAAAATATGGTATTATCAGTCCATATTGGTTTGAAGACAAAAATGAGAGACCTCAAACATTTAATAAGGAGCACTATGTGACTGTGTTGAGGAAGCTTTGGGCATCACTGGGATGATGCAGAGGGATAGATTGAGATGAGCAGTGGTTCCAGCAAGACACCCCCACATCACATCAAATGATTCCCTAGCCTGGCTGAGAGAGCAATTTCAGGAGAGACTGATCAGTAGGAAGTGTGATGTTGAGTGGGCACTGCACTCACTAGACTTGAACCCCACATTTTTTTTTTTTTTTTTTTTTATTTGTGGGGGTATCTCAAGGATAATGTGTACCAGAACAGCCCTCAAACAATTGGTGAACTGAAGGCAGCAATCACAGCAAAAATCAGGGAAATCCCCAAAGAGGAATGTGTCCGAGTAATTGACAATATTTGCAAGTTTGCCACCAATACCAGATTCCATTTGGAGCATATTTTGGAAAGAATGTGACTTTTATGCAAAGCAACCAATTTAACTAAAACATTGGGGAATGATTCTCCACAGACTGAAGTGTAAATCCAACAAGTTGTTTAAAAATTAACTAGACTTTTGTAGGATTTATTACAATATTTATGGCTTACACTAGCAGGCTTTGCCCACTTGCTATTGCTTTGCAAAGTGAGATATATGAAATCTTTGAAACAAAAATTTTAAATGAACATTTCATTCATAAATTGGCTTGTTATAGTTAAGCAAAGTTTTACAAATAGATGCCAACTTGTTGAAGGCTAAGTAAAATGCAAATTTCAAAGACTTTTCTGCACTATATAAGATGGCATTTCTAACAGAACTATTTTTGATTTGAAAAATCAAAACAATCAACTAATAAAAGGACAGTAATGAAGGACAGTTAATTAATGAAATAAGCAAATTAGTTAAACCTGAAGAATGATATTGCTTAAACGTAGATAATATATAATACATGTTTATTATCATCTCTCAGTTGTGTCTATCTTTGGGCAGAGTCTGCTCAAGGGTGGCTCTGTCAAAGGACAGATTCACAACTGAGGAAAATTATACTGAGAGGTGCCCAACCCTGGGGAACAGCTACCTGAGGCTGCACCCT